AATTTACAAATAAATATTTAAATATTAATTAAAAAAATATTTCAACTATAAGAATTAATATCTAAGTATGAAATAGAATAAAAATAGAATACGTTTAAAGATATCAAGAGAAAAGAAAAAAGAATTAGGCCAATATCTCATTTCAGTGTCGAGATATTGATACCTTGAAAATCAACGTAAAGCAGGGGTAAGCCTCTTTAAAAAATATTTTCGACCCTTTATGAGTTGTCTTGAATTTTGTTTTGAGTTTATTGTAAAGAGCTTGAAATTTGCTACAAGATAGCAGAATAAAATAATAATAAAATAAAATAATTATAATGAAAAAATAATAATACATACTAATCCAAATATGGTAACAAAAATAGTAATTGCGCCAATACATATACATTAAATTATTAAAATTTTACATTAGATAGGCAAACAAATTTGCTGCAAAATAAAAATAAAATGTTTCTTTGTGTTTTACAATATTATTTACAAGAAAAACTCCCGATATGTTATTATTTGTTTAATTTTTCAAAGATATTTTAATTGAAATAATTTATATAAAAAATAATAAAATTTATTTTACTAATAAAAATCGAAATTATTTAAATAAAAAGTTATTTTATTTTTGTCATTAAATGATAATTAATTTTTTCTTAAATTAAATTAATTTTTAGTAATTTAAATTATTTATTAATTTTCATTGATTTATTAATTGTAAGTAAGTCGCAATTAATTTTTATTTAAATTTAAGCTATAAATTTTTTAAAATTCTTTTAATTTATATATTATATTTGAAATTGTTTATTTTTAATTAATTTATTAAACAATCATTAAATAATAAAATTTTATTTCAGAATATTTTTCATTTTTTATTCAAATTAAAAAATTTTCGAATATGAAATAATTTCAGTGTTTATTGGTGATAATTAAGTTTTTTAATTTATAAAAATAGAGAAGCTAATATTTAAATACCTATTTTATATAAATATTTCTAAAGTATTTTTAATAATATAACAAAAATTACTGACAAACATCTCAGCTATTGACAAACATCTCACGCTCATCTCATGCTATTTTACCTATTAACTCACACAGAAAAGCTACATTATTAATTTATTCCAAAAATCTATAATATCATTCATTTTCTAATATCGATATCGATTTCATTCGATATTGATCCTGAACCGGATACCGGTATATCGTCCCAAATATAGATCGATATAGATATTAAATATACACCCCCTAAGTATTGTTTTTATATTTTTTATTTTAATCAAAATCACTATCTCGTACTTTGACAGCAAATTATTTTAAGAAAAATTTTTTATAATTTTCTTCCAATGTTTCTTTTTTGGACGCTGTTTGAATGGGAAAGTCGACGGGCTTCACTGACTCGGATATTTTCATAGGGATGGGTTCGGATCCGAGGATGGAAATGAGGCTTAAAAATATTTACTTTCAAAAATAATTGTTTTCGTCTGCGGCGCAAATAATGTAAGGAATAGAGAACTATCAGGATATTAAAATTGAATTGTTAGATGGAAAAAATCGAAAAGTATCGATTCGGTAGTTTTGGTAGTACCACGTTATTACCAAAACTAGTATTAATAAAGATATATAGAGAGAATTTTTAAGTATTTTCTGGATTAGGGAGAAAAAATTTGTAAAATATATCGGTTAATATCGAATATCGATCTCGATATTGTGTTAAATTTTGCATATCGAGCTTGACAATATCTATCAATTTGATATCGAATTTTTCCTAAAATATCGATACCGTATTTACTCAAATAATTGCCCAATCCCCTCTCGCTCGATTAGTTGTTGCCCACTCCCCCTCGCTCGATTAGTTCGTTGCCCACTCCTCCCTCGCTCGATTAGTTCGAGAGGTTGGGACAATAATTATAAAGAATAAGTAAGTGTGCAAATACCCTAATAATGGGAACTTGTTAGAGAAGGAATCTATAATTTCGATGAAGAAAGGACTAAAATAGAAAGAAAATATTTAAAATAAATAATATTCTTGTTTTTCTTGATCACTCATAAAATATAAAGTAAAAAAAGACAAGAAAGGGATTGCAATAAATAAATGAATAAATAAAATTGTATGTTATTTAGTTATTTTGGTTTTATATTTAATCTTTATAAATAAAAACCACATTAATTCTAGCTTATTTCTTTTAATAATATTTGATTACCTCAAATAACAGATCAAAAATGTTTTTCTTTTAACGATATAATAAAACGTCCTACACAATTAATATTTTGTAACGTTAATAATAACTCTTCTAATATTACCTATCTACCTATCTATTTCTTACCAAAAACTATGCAATAAATTAACAATATTAAATTTTCTTTAATAAGAAAAGATTTAAAATTTTAATATGAGACTATACAGCTAGCAGCAGTAGTTTTATTCAAGATCCCTAGTACTAATCAAAGCCACAAGATTAAATTTTTAACTGTCAACAATGATGTATGTGAACTAATTCAAACAAAAACAGAGAATTTATTTAATTCTTGTAAATTTACCTTTTTATATAAATATATGGATTTTAATTCGTAATTTATAGCAGGGTTGCCGCGGGTACAAAAAATCCTCGGGTACGGGTTTCGTGTTTCGGACGGCAACCTTGATTTATAGTAATATTGAGACTATGTCTTTATAAAGTTGTCCATTTATAAAGTTGTTCCCTTCACGAAAAATTTACTATTTGGGTGTGCAGCCAATGTGCCTCTGTTTTGCCAACCAAATTCTAATGCCAACTTATAAAGCAACAACTATTTGCTTGGTTAAAGCTATTTGAGCAAGGTAAAAAAAATATCCTTAATACTATACTTATCTAAGCGTCTTCCATGCAAAGTTGGACGACATTATTTTGTGTTTATGTAAAAATATTAAATTCCCCCGTATAATAAAAAATATGATACTTTTCTGTTATACGACAAACCGAATGCCAGACGACTTTGATCGGCTATAACTTCTTGTTGCTTGATCCAGTACAAATGAATCTTGTATTATTCGAAAGCCATCGATAAGCGGTATCTTTCCAATTTGATAGAAAAAAATCACTCTAATCACTCAATAAAAGGTTATAACCCGATAACTTTGGAAAATACCAAGTAACTTATCGGTTACCCGATAACTTTGGAAAATACCAAATAACTTATCGGTTACTCGATAAATTTTGGAAAATATCGGTTATAACTTATCGGCTAAAAATTGTATCGGAATAAGGGGGTTATTTTTGCAAATTTCTTGGAGTTATCGTTAATACCATCCAATCCCTAGACTATACAAATCCCCTTTTACTTTATAAAATATTGTTAAATAAACATGGTGTCTGGAAAACAAATAATAAAATATAAAAAAGAAACAATGCCAACAATAGACAAAGAAGTTACTACGATAAAAATATATAAAATAGCTGAGCACTAAAATCAACGAGAAATATATAAATAAATGAAAAAATAAGTTTATTCAATTACAGATATTCATCCATTATAATTTCAAATTTCCTGCGGATGGATATGACTCAAAATTGTACGGATATAAATGGATACGGATATTGACAAGGATAGCAAAATCTGTTTCCATGGCCAAGTCTTCTTTATTAGATTTTATTATACAAATTATTTTTCAAGATAAACCATTTCCGTAGTTATTCTCCAATTGATTCTCTATGGTATTCTATTAGTAATGCAAATCAATATATATTTCTTTGGTTATTATGATGCGAATGCACCTTCTTTTTTACTTATGGCCATGACTTAAGACAAAAGAATCTATTAAATTACAATTAAATATTTATAGATATAAAATACTAAACATTGTACATGATAATTATTTAACGACTTTTTTGCTGTAAGTCGTTTAACATATTAGGTAGATCCCTTCTATCTGATTTGGACGACACTAAATTTCTCTCAATTTAAATTTTCTACCGTCAATACACTTGAAAAAATCAATTGGGCTGATTTGTTAATCATAGTTTAATTTAAGAAATATTAGTTATGTATTGAAAAATACTAAGAACTAATTATTAACTAAAATAAAAAACATTTTGAATTAAGACCAAACATTTTATAATCAAATTTATTGATTGATGTAGTCAAGTTTTTTCAAGTATTGATTGTAAAAAATTTTTATTGTTTTGTCTTTAAATCATAATTAGAAGTGGACTAAATGAAATTTAATATCAACGTAAAATACCCTAAAAATTAAAACGTAATATTAAAATATATTTCAAAAATACTCATATTTATTTTTTCTCGTCTATTGATTTCATCTAGCTGACTTATCTACACAATTCTTTATTTTTTGTTGTTATAGTCCTAAATATTCACTTTTTCCTTAAATATTCAGAAATTGAAAATTTTAAATGAATTTAAATAAAAATTTCCAAAATTATTTTAAAAATATTTTTATTTATAAAAATTTTTATAAAATAGATTTTTTATTTTTTTAAATAAAAATAAATAAAAATATTTTTATTTATAAAAATTTTATAAAATAGAAATTTAAATAAATTTCTGAAAATTTAAAGAAATATTTTTTTGTTTTATAAATTTATCAAATTAATTTATCAGACAGTTGGATCTAAAATAGGATTTCCTCGGTATCCATAGGGATAACAATCCAAATCTGCATCTACGAATCCTTTATCATATATAGGTGCATAGCGTCTGAAATTTTAATAAGTATTGCAGAAAAAGAATTAAATACCTTGTTTGCGAACGACTTGTGACTTCCCCACAACGCCAGCTAGGTTGAAAGTGTGTTCTCTCCAAAACAACAGGATCCTGCTCCTCGCCATAAGCTTCTACCATTTTCTTAACAAAAATTTTATAAAATAATATTTTTGAATAAACCTTGAATTGATTAAAATCGAGGGGTGAATCGACTGTGTCCCAACAACCTCGACATTTGACAACATATTTAATTTCACCACTTTTCCTATGTTTCATTTTCATTGCATACTGTAAATACTATTAAAGATATATACTATCTAAACCTGTTTGCATCCTCCGGTACAAAATGCAATAATGTTCCAATCTTCATATTCGCGGCTCATCATTCCAAGCATGTCTCCTACGCGAAATGGTGGTTTTTTATTTCGTCTGTGCAAGTAGAAGCAGCTATCGGTATCCGTGTATAGAAGTTTACATTCATCTTCATGAACAATTCTATCCATATAATCATATAACTTAACCCTAGCATTTGCGGTAGTAATAAGTGCTAATATTATATTGTATTTTTCATGTGGGCGAACAAATTCTTTTCGATGTCGAAATGGAACTGCATATAAATCGGGAGTTAAAAATTCAACAGCTCCCACTTCCAATTTTGGATCATTGAGAACTGTATGCAGTTTGATGGGTGAATTTGTAATACAATCTTGCGTCAAATTGCAACGAAGTGCCCAACGGCCCCACCTTAATAAAGTATATTTATTTCCTATTTTTACTTACATGGAATTATTGTAAGTTTTTGCCAAATAACGCATTCCTTCATTTCTTTCCATTCTTGTTGGATCAAGCTGAATACCATATTCGTTTTGGTTTAGATCAATAAATTCATTTTTGAGCTTTTCTTCTAAATCAGGATTTTCAGGGCGCAGAACACTAGCAGGCCATCCACTTGCCTATTAGTTTTAAAATTAATATAAGTAATAAAATACTTATATTAATAAAATACTTATATTACCTAGATTTCCAACAATGTAAATTTTAAATTTAATAATACCAATTGGATAGAAAGCATAAAAGTTAACTGCTGGATATAAACTGACAACATCATAGCAAGAAATTTCGAAGCCTTCAATTTCTTCAAGGTCACATTTGAGTGCTAAAGGTCCGGTTCTTCCTCCTAAATTCAAGTTACATGAATTTTAAAATTTTTACCGTGAAAAGAGTCTCTAGGGAATAATGGACCTATGTCCGGTAATGCATCAAAGAAAAGTGCCAATTCTTTATCTTCTTCCAACTTTTTATATACATCACATTCCCACATTATATGTGGAATGATATTCTTCTCTTTAATCAATATAATTCTTTCAGCAAGCTTGTCTCTATTAAATAATGCAGTTTTGCCATTAAGGCATATTTCATGTGGTTGATACAGGCTTAAAGGATAAATATATAAAATTTAATAGAAAAATTACCAGTCGTGTCCATGCCATGCGCAACCTAGAAACTCTATAGCATGGCCTCCATCGGTTCCTTCAATAAAACCATCAAGTCGTAAAATACTTCCATCTGAAACTGCAAGTCTGTACTCTCCCTCAGCACTTTGTTGATTTTGAATAGGTTTCTTCAATACATGCTCAAGCCATTTTATAAATTTAATAGCTATTGCAGACTGATTTGTATCTTTATGATAACCATTATCAGGAATAATGCCAATCTGGTTTTTGTTTAAATAGTTGATACCTAAATTTTAAAAATATCTTTATAAAAAACTTAGAAAATTACAAAAATGCCGAAGGCATGCACTCGCTAATGTCATTGAAGAGACAAGTATGTCATCTCGTTTAGAAGGATCTGGAGCAAGTTCAAAAAATAGATGCTGTAGTTTCACAAGAGCATGAGCAAGTATTCTAACATCTTGCTCACAATACTCTACAATTTGTTCACGAAGGCAAAACGGTTGATTCATGTTTAATTTATACCATTCCTCAAACTTTTCTCTTCTTTCCTTCCCCATAGACTCAGGATAATAGTATTTTTTGGGAGGTAGTCCATCAAGTCGTAAATTCATGTTTTTGTTGTAATTCCATCCATGCGGAAAGAATGATTTTCCGCCTTCATCTATATTTAGACCAAGAGCCTTAGGCAACTGTTCCAATTTTAGCATCATCCAATTAAAGGAGTCGCGAAATGAAATATATGGACAAATGCCGTTTTTCTTCTTTATGAGGACTTCATATAATTTGTTTCCGGTTCTAACTATACTTGGCTCTAAGCCAAAGTGTCTGATTAATTCACCAAGAAGTAAATGCATATCATATCGCCTATAAAGACAGTTAAATATATTGCTGATTTATTCATACCCTCCATAATGTGATATTGCATATGTACGACCGGTACGTTCATGATCTAAATCGTATATCAGCCAATGAAGAAATTCACGAAGAGGATTATCATAATCGGCTCCTGTCCAACTTCGCATTCTTGATTTTACTTTGCAGCAAATTTTACATCCGTTTGTATTTTCTTCTTTCCATTTCTCGTTTCGCATACATTTTGAACACATCAACATTGCCTAAGTTAAAGTTTATCTTGAAAAAATATTTTTAATACCGAAACACAATTCACATGATGAAATTGGTAATTTTCGTCATCAGGGATGGTGCTTGATCCTTTACCAATATTATCCCATTCTATAGCATTTTTTATTGGTGACACTAGTTCGCACTCGAAATCAAATATGATCTGTTTAAATTATTTTCAGTTTTATTTAAAAAGTTAACCAAGAGATAATCCTTTTGACTTTGCTTAGGAATAATTGGTTGTACATAACAATGTTCTTCACGTCTATGCCATGACTTGCAAAGTGAACAGAAGTGGATGAAACATAAATGGTCCTTATCCTTTTTATTCCGATAAATTTGGCCACAACCCGTACATCTAATATATATTGGTTAAAGTATGAAAGTTAATTTACCTTTTAAAGATTTGACAAATTCCTTTTTCCAAGTGTCGTGTGTAACATATAGGGTTACGAAATAAAATAGAACACTGTTGGCAAAAATGTTCAAAACCTTCGATTTCTTTACAAGGAAAATCTGATCCAATTCCACAGCATCTTTGGCATTTTGCTATACAATTTTGCCTATGTTCAGTCTTTCTTTGGTATGGCGATTCGCATTCAATACAATAATACATATCTTTGCCGAAAAGTGTGTTGACATTCCTTATTCCATAATAATGACCATTCATCAAGTAAATGCAAATATCCTTCTTTGCCCTTTCACGTCCTTTCCATAAACTTTTCATTTGACCTGTTTCTCCGAATATCGCAAGCCTATATTCTCCTGGGAACTGTTCATTAAGCAATTTTTGTATTAGAGGTGCATGCTCTTCCACAATATATTGTTGTAATCCCAGAGGGAATCTTATACCATGTTTTTTCATTTGTTCCAACATTTTCTTTATTAATATAATACGATTTAACTTATATTTTGCGCCGTTCTCATTCACAAGCCTCATAAAGTTTTTCTGAGCTGACGTAGTTTTTTCCAAATTTACATAAAGAATTGTAAGTTGTACAGCCAATATTAGACAATAATATTTGAATGGTTCACCAAGATTTTCATTGTGAACCTTGATATTAAATATTTATTTATTTTTTAATTATTTACCTGTATTAGATTGTTCATATCTATACCACGCATAATTTCTCTTGGTTTTCTACCACTTCCGCTCTGTCCTTTTCTTATCAGTTCCTGAGCTTCATCATGTGAGGGACCCATCACTATCTAAACAAAAATCTAATTTTTAATTTATTGTTCTAAAAACCTCAATGTGTATTGGTTGACTGTAAATTGATGGTCTTCCCATTCTTTTTCCACTTTGCTCAACAGCATCAAATTGTTCCATAACAACAGATGGAGTATTTTGTGATAAGCCCCTATAAGCAATTTGTATGGGTTTTTCAAGCACTGCGCTTCTTATTATAATAGAGCATTTTTCGGATTTTGATTCAGCCGATTTGTCCGCCCTTTCTAAAAAGTGATCGATTAAATCCTCCAATATTTGTTCTCGACCAGTTTTAGCATCTTCTATATTTTTAACCGTGAAAACACTCCTTAAGTATTTTTAAATTTATAATTAGCCATTAAATAACCTGAAGACACCAATTTTAAATCTATTGCTTTTAATAAATTCGGATGCTTCTTCATTGTAAAAATGATTAATTTCTAATTTTCCAAATTTTTTTGAATAACGTTTCATCTAAAAGCTAAAAGTATAAAATTTTAAAATTTTTTTAGATATTTAGTGCATTGCAACACTGTTCGAGGAAAACATAAGATATTAATAGTTTATTAGCAGAAAAAAATTTTTAAAATTATTCTGTCATTTCTTCGGGTACAATTTGATCATTTGAGCTTCCTTCGTCCGCAATGTTGTCTTGAATAGTAAGATTCGAATCCAGACGTTCACTCATAAATACTATTGGCGAGTCTAAATAAAAGAAAACATTTATTTATATTTTCAGTAACCTTCTCTCTCATTAGTCAATAATTTTTGCTTCATATTATCGTCAACTTTGCAAATGTTTATTGCCATCTCTGGATCAATTTGTTGCCAAAATTTGCTCAATGGGTCATATAGCTCATAATATAATTCCTCTTTTACAACTTCAGTAATTGCCTAAACTATTTAAGTTTAAGCTTTTTAAAAATTAAAACAAACAATTCTAGCCAGAGCGTTTCTTTCTTTGAGCAGATATTCATGTACGCGGCTAGTTGATATTAATGGATGTCTTTTTTCATGAAATTGTATAAACGCAGCATACAAATAATTTTTAAGCTTTCTTTGATCGTGTTGTACATTTTCGAATAGACTGCGTTGTTTAGATAAGCTAATAATGTTTTCTTTTATTAGTCCAATTGCTCTATCGGCTAATTGTTGTTCCATTTGAAAATTAGAATTTAGAATTGATAAATATTCCTAAAATTAAATTTAATTTAGCAATTAATTTAAATATTAATCCGATAGTATTACGGCTACTTTAAAATTAAATTAAATAAAAGTTTTATTCGTTAAGATATTATTAATCATATTATTTTTCATGTTTCATATCTATTTCTTTTTTATCGATTATTTGATGTTGTTGAATAAGTTGTAAGTTTTTTGATGATAATCTACATTTCCAGTAGTACATTCAGAACAAGTCTTAAAAATCATTATTAATTTTTATCTTTTTGACATACCACAAAGCTGAGTTCATACTTTTCACCATTCTTTTGAACAAAAAGGTCGCTTGCCAATTTTTTTGTAAGTTCTACGCAGTTGGTACACTAGAATTTAATTTAATTCTGTATATAATTTTAAAATACTTGGTGAAGAATCCAACAATATTTCATGTTTAATAGTTTTTTGTCGTTTCCCGTTGAAATACTCTTTCCTTTTTGAAAATTTAGAACATCTTAAAACAATTAATTTAGATTTTTAAATAACTACAACATTACCATTAT